ATCATCATCATCATCATCATCATCATCATCATCATCCTTTTACTTGTCTTCTTGATATATTTTGTCATTATTATTTTCTCTCCATAAATTATTTACTTATGAACATGACACATGGCACTGGGTAAACGTGAATGACACTGTGTTATAGAAGGGGGAGGGAGGAGTCAGCCTCATGAATCTCCCGCTAAAATGAACACACTGAGAGTTATGCTGAGGAAGACACTAACGACACTCAGACAAACACAGTGGAGAGAGGAAGGAAGAGGTTCTGAGTAGACCAGGAATCAATAAGCCTCCCCCCCCCCCCACACAAAAAGGGTGGGGGGGGGTGTGGAGGGGTCTTTATTGTGGTTTAGCCGGGTAGCAAAGAGTTGAGGAAGTTGTCTTAATTTGAGGTGGTCTTGATGTTTTGTTTCTGTTTGTCTCGAGTGATCGGGACAGATGTTCCTGATCTTGGTTGTAAAACTGTCTGTCTGTCTGTCTGTCTGTCTGTCTGTCTGTCTGTCTGTCTGTCTGTCTTTCCATTGTATATTTTCATCCTTCAGTTGCTGCATCTTTTTTAATTAACCGTTATTATTATTATTGTTATTATTATTACACGTTCACACCCTCACCCTTTCTCTTCCTCTCACACCCTCACCCTCTCTCTTCCTCCCTTGTCCTCACCCTCTCTCTTCCTCTCACACCCTCACCCACTCTCTTCCTCTCACACCCTCACCCTCTCTCTTCCTCCCTTGTCCTCACCCTCTCTCTTCCTCTCACACCCTCACCCTCTCTCTTCCTCTCACCACCCTCACTCTCTCCCTCCACCCTCACCCTCTCTTCCTCTCTGTCACCCTCACCCTCTCTTCCTCTCACACCCTCACCTCCTCTTCCTCCCTTCCTCTCTCCTCTCACACCCTCACCCTCTCTCTTCCTCTCACACCCCCACCCTCTCTTCCTCCCTACCCTCACCCCTCTCTTCCTCTCACACCCCTCACTTCCTCTCTTCCTCCCTCCCTCACTCCTCTCACCCTCACCCTCTCTCCTCTCACACCCCTCACCTCTCTCTTCCCTCCTCTCCTCACCCTCACCCCTCTCTCTTCCTCTCACACCCTCACCCTCTCTCTTCCTCTCACACCCTCACTCCTCTCTCTTCCTCTCACACCCTCACCCTCTCTCTTCCTCTCCCTCACACCCTCACCCTCTCTCTTCCTCTCACACCTCACCCTCTCTCTTCCTCTCACACCCTCACCCTCTCTCTCTCTCACCCCTCACTCTCTCTCTTCCTCTCACACCCTCACCCACCCTCACCTTCTCTCTTCTCCTCTCACACACCCTCTCTCTTCCTCCCCTCACCCTCTCTCCTCCTCCCTCACCCCTCTCTTCCTCACACCCTCACCCTCTCTCTTCCTCCCCTCACTCTCTTCCTCTCACACCTCACCCTCTCTTCCTCTCCACCCTCACCCCACCCTCTCTTCCTCTCTCACTCTTCCTCTCACCCCTCACCTCTCACACCCCTCACCCTCTCACACCCTCTCTCTCCTCTCACACCCTCCTCTCTCTTCCTCTCTCACCCTCCCTCCTCCTCTCTGCCCCACCCTCTCTCTTCCTCTCACCTCTCACACCCTCTCTCTTCCTCTCCATCCCTCTCACCTCTCTCCCTCTCACACCCCTCACCTCTCACACCCTCACCCTCTCTCTTCCTCCCTTACCCTCACCCTCTCTCTTCCTCTCACACCCTCACCCTCTCACACCCTCACCCTCTCACCCTCCACACATTCAAATCGTTTAAAGTGGGTTTTTTTCCCTTCCGCGTTTTTTCAATGTATTTTTCTACCCCAAAAATAAGAAACTTCAAAAAATATCAAACATAAAGAAGAGTCGAAAGTTTTTTTTTTTTATTCTAACTAAAACAACGAAGTTTAAGACAATACTACACCTCTATTTTAAGGTAGAAAAAAAAGCCTAATAATTTCATGAACTTTGTGATTGGTTAAGTCTACCAACCTATTAGAGGCAGGGTGGTCGACTATTGTGAAGGTCTGCATCCATATCCGTGAGGTAAACATCCATATATCCGTGAAAACTACGTATGTGAGGTGTGCTTTTTTCCCAGAAAGTCACAGCATGGCAATATGTCTCTACGTCTGCGTCAAGAAGAGTATGGCCACTTCCTTCTGATGGCCGGTATTATCCTTCACAGAGGCCATCACGATGCTGAAAAAAGAAAACATAGGTCAAAAACGTAGTGAGCATACTACCACTTAGTGAAGGAATTGGAACTGGATGAGGAACAGTTTCAACATTACTTCAGACTGACTAGAGAGCAGTTTAAGCAAGTACTCTACCTGGTGGAAAAATCGGTGGTGAAAGTTTGCAAGACAAGGGAGGCAATATGTCCGAGGCAACGGCTAGCCATATGCCTGAGGTGTGTACAGTATGCACACACTGACTGTTACAAATATAAGAAAACAATGATATCAAATAATCTTTATTGACCCAAAGAAAATGTTTCTCGAGTACATTATATGGGTGCCGGCAAGAGAAGATAAACTGCCCGGGTTTTGTCTGACCAGTTCTACCAAGGCCTTACAAACTTCTTGGTTGGTCATTCTACTGGAGTCCTTGCGTTTGGGAATGGTGGATGCTGTGGAAAACTAATTATAAAATAAGTCTAGTGAGTTTACGTAGGTCACGTAGCCCCCACAACAGCTTCCGTGTTCCATACGTGTACGTGAAAAATCGCTCACTGCGCGATTCCTCTATGCGGACACTGAACTGTTCAATGGATGCTTCTCAACCTTTTCTCATATACTCGATTTTTCACTGACACTGATGCGTACGGGGACACGGACCACGGACAAATGGAAGCCCGGCCTACACATACTAGGATATAGTTTGAGCCATGACGACTTCTTGTTGCATGGAGTACGTCTATCCCTACTGTGTCCCGTCTCTCTGGTGTCTGATACTCTAATATCAGTGTTCTTCAGTGTAGTTCCCTTATGATGAGCACAGAATAAACACTGAACAATATACTGCTTGATATTAGCCCTCATAGTTCTCCATTATTATGTCCTTCTAACCTCAATTAGGCATTTGTCTCGGCCTGGCTGTGTCTCTCTTGATGTCTTTGTTGAGCGATGCGGTATGTCTTGCTGTAATTCAAACTCGGTTAGAGAGAAGATAGTTTAGGAAGATTTACCTCATCTACTAATCCTAAGACACAGAATATTATACCTTGAACCACATTATGATCTATATGTTCTTTCTCCAGTTGACGAAGGGAGACAACTTGACAGGGATAGGACTAGAGCTGTGTTTCCGCCACGTTAACACATCCTGGGAGTTGTTTGAAAGTGTTTCTTACATCTAATGGCCCTTCGATTAATGAATTTCCTTCTCCATATGGGCCGTTAGATGGAGGTTTCATCAGTGTTTAAGACTATAATTAACGGCAAGAAACGCTCTGAGTGACATACTGAGACCCGCTCTTACTGGCTGCTATTGATGTAACTTTTACCAAACTTAACAAAAGATCTGTTGTTGACGAAAGTTTCTCATTAGTCCCCGAGGAGTTATTGCCGCTATAACTACCCCTCGCCTCTCTGTCTGTCTGTCTGTCTGTCTGTCTGTGTTTTGCTTGCTGCATTCTAGACTGTTAATTGTGCATGTAAGGACGTATTTAACTGACTCCCTTTAGTAACGACACAAAGTTCTTAAAGATTATTACTGTGAATTTCTTCCTTCAATAAACAGAGAATTTACTTCATAAAATGACATCAAAATTGCCTTAAAATTATACTGATTCCTGATTCATACTCGTCCAACCAGCTGTGAAATTATTACCTAACTTAATTATTGAGGAAATTAAGATACTTGAGTGCAGTGTCGACTTAGTTTACTGTGTATATAATATGTTATCACAACTGCCCTTAACGAGCTGTCAGATTTATAGAAGTTACTTTCAAGGGAATACATTTCACATAGGGACCCTTTGAGAGCCTCATTAATGCCTTTTGTTTCTCTGTCTAACATGTAACTTCTTTGATAGTGATGGTGGTGTTGATAGTGATGGGGATAATGATGATGGTGATGGCTGAGGTGGTGATAGTGATTATGATGATGTAAATGGTGGTGATAGTGATTATGATGATGTAGATGGTGGTGATAGTGATGAATATGGTAATGGTGGAGATGGAGATAGTGGTGGTCGTGATGGTGAGAATGATAGTAGCGGTGATAGTGATGATGTCTTGATGATGATGATGATGATGATGATGGGAGCTTCTGGACACTGCCTTGTGGGGGGGGGGTAAGAGGAGCCAGACCCACAGGTTAATGTGTCCGCAGGTGATTTTATTGACACTCTGGGCAGGTCGGGAACGAACCTTTACACCTCCACCAACCCAATTACTCGCTGGCAACACCTGAGTTACTCTTACATCTCGACCTTGGAGAGTACGACCACCGGAGTGAATTTTGGAGGTGAATCTTGGAGGATAGAGATTTTTAGAAATGAAACTTTGAAGAGAAATATTGTATAAATATTCATACGTTTACACACACACACACACACACACACACACACACACACACACACACACACACATACATATTAAACAGACACAGGAGAGGACAGAGAGAAAGAGAGGGGAGTGAACTTTCTTCTCGAGTTAACCAACTATCAATATTCTTTTACAAAATAATTTACCAATACCTTTTTTTCTTTAACAGTCAATTTTCCTTCAAAGTAATTCTAATTTTCTTCAACAAACATGGGATTTTCTTACACACATTCTTCCATTTTCTTTAACGAACGACGAATTCTATTTAATATACAACTTATCTCCTTTTAACAACCACCTATTGCTGAAAAAAAATCTCATTATCTTTAAACAAAAAAATATATCAATTATCCCATTGTACTGAAACATCAACCAGTACAATCCTTTTCCTTCCCGTCAATGTTTACTATCAATCAAAAGCCTCAAGTTCTTTTCAATCTTTTCCCGCAGACTACAACGCGACGCTGTACTGTTACCCGAACGGCACCTGGTCTAAGAAGTCGTTTTATAACTTCTGCCTCAACGCCGTGACCAACAACAGCGAGGTACAGGGCTCCACCGTCAACACCATCAGCACAATATTTTACATAGGGAACTCTGTTAGCCTCGTCGCTGTCACCTTGGCCCTTTGGATTTTCATCTCTTTCAAGTAAGTGTCGTGACTCTCTCTCTCTCTCTCTCTCTCTCTCTCTCTCTCTCTCTCTCTCTCTCTCTCACATCAATGTGTGTAAGTTGCCTCTGGTATTTCTTAACAATTGTGATCATTAATTTTCTGTTTCAGGACCTTTTTTTTTATTTTAAGGAAATATATTTGTATCTGTTCCTCTGTGTTTATCAATTTTTATGGGGTGTGAGGGAAGACTGAGGTGTGAGGCAAGACTGAGGTGTGAGGGAAGACTGAGGTGTGAGGGAAGACTGAGGTGTGAGAGAAGACTGAGGTGTGAGGCAAGACTGAGGTGTGAGGCAAGACTGAGGTGTGAGGGAAGACTGAGGTGTGAGGCAAGACTGGGGTGTGAGGGGTGGTCATCTCGCTCTACGTATTTCACCTTCATTAACCTGGGAGAGATACAGAGAGGCGGATAGAGAGTGAGGAAAGAAAAACTAGGCAATGAAGATAATGGAGAGATAGTGTTAGATAGATAGATGGATAGATGGATAGATAGATTAGAAAGAAAGGGTGGATAGATAGTGAAGGAAGCAAGGCATGGCAGATAATAAGAGAGGCAACACAGCTTATCTAACATAATAAAACTCTTGATAAAGTTTTCTCGGTTCTGTATTCCGTCTAATTATTTTTCTCAACAATACGCGGCCCAAAACCCAACCAAATATATATTAAGAACCTCTAAATTAATTTAAAAATGATTGAAATTTATTAAAAACCATATTCCTTTAGTGTAATAATAATAATAATAATAATAATAATAATAATAATAATAATAATAATAATAATAATAAACGGTTTATTGAAAAAGTTTGCAGCCCGAAGGCTGAAAATATACATTGGACATAAATGACTTATTACATACATTGGTGTGTGTGTGTGTGTGTGTGTGTGTGTGCGCGCGCGCGCGTGTGCGCGCGTACAGGGTGGTGTAATGCATTGAGTGTAGCAACATTATGTTAGTGTTAAGGTGAGGCATTGCTTCCTTCCTCTCGCTTTCAGCTACCGCCGCTGGCTATCACTCGTAGCGAACAGGGAAGCAACTTGCATAAGTCCTCCCCTGCCTCGTGGGGTGCCTCGTGGGCCCAGGCTAGATCAGCAGGGAATCTCGGAGTAGCAGTGGGCCCCAGAGGGACGGCGCATAGGCCCACTGGCATGTGGAAACGTCCTAATACCTACCAGCCATTGTCCCGCTGCCTTGCGGATTAGCATTGGTAGGTATAAGGCTACAGGAGTAAACCCCGAACGAAAAATCTGCGGAGGAGCCCCGCATCAGGCAGACATGCTTACAGAGCTCCACCATGGGAACCCAACGACTGCATTGGGGGATGAAGGCAATACATGATAGACAGGTTACTAGGCGAAACCCAACGAACTGGTCTATCTGCAGTCCACTGCAACTCTCCCTCTCCCCAGTCGTTACAACACTTGCACCACTGGATCAGGAAAAGGGAGAGCCAAAATGTATAGTTGCAGCCTGCGCTCCTGCCTCACCACATAAATCAATTCACTAGTAGCCATCATCCAGCTCATCATACCTCTCATCATCATCAAAACCCCTATACCCCCATAAGTCCTATGGTGATGGACGAGTGGCGTCGGGGACAGGCAGAGATGACTGCCGGGAGTCTCTAGTCAAAATTTTGCACATGGGCGGCACAGTTAAGATGGTCGTTTACACTGGGATATAGGCAGCAGTGCAATCCGGTCCTGTCTGTGCGACTGAGCAGCCCTTTCGAGGAGTCACTCTGCTCACTCCATATGGGGAGGGGGCTAGAAAAGGTGCCCTAAACATAGCCTGCCTAAAAAAAAATGACTGGATAACCGCACCCAGTAAGGTCATCCTTATGCAGTCGAAAACACAATCAAAATCACAGATTCAAACAAAAACAAACTATACAACCTCTTATGGTCGTCAGGTAAACTGGCACAAATGAGCATCCTGAAAGAACTGCTCTTGTGGCAAAAGAGCTGGCTAGATGTAACATCGACATAGCAGCCATTAATGAGTCCCGGCTCTCAGACAAGGGTTAACTCACAGAACAGGGGTCTGGCTATACCATCTTCTGGAAGGGTAAGCCTGCTGCAGAGAGGAACTGCATTTATGGAGTTGCCTTTGCCATCCGCCAACGCATCCTACACAGGCTAACCGAAATGCCTATTGTGATCAACGAGCGCCTCATGACGCTCCGAGTCCCACTGAATCACTCACATAATGCCTTTTTCATCAGTACATACGCCCCAACACCGGATGCAGAGGATGACATCAAGGAGGCCTTTTACGCCGACCTCGAAAGAGTGCTAACCTCTATCCTCAGAGAAGATTAGGTTGTGCTCCTTGGTGACTTCAATGCCAGAATTGGCAGAGACGCTGACATTTGGCAGGGAACCATAGGGAGAAATGGACCAGGCAAGTGTAATCCCAACGGCCTACACCTCCTCAGCAAGTGTGCTTCACACAACCTCACAATCACCAATACCTTGTTTAGGTAGGCCGACAAGTTCAAGGGCTAGTGGCAACACCCACGATCCAAACACTGGCATCTCCTAGACTACATCATTATCAGAGAAAAATATCGCAGAGATGTCCTCATCACCTGTGCCATGCGTGCCTCAGACCACTGCGACACTGATCATCGGCTCGTCAGAGCCAAGCTCTCATTTCAGTTCGCCCCAAAACGGCGAAGGCAGCAAGCCTCTAGAAGAGGTTTTTACACTAAGCGTCTGAAGGATCCAGTGGTAGCACATGCTTTCAGAGAGCAACTCGAGCATGGGCTGATAAACAACCCGATAACAAACAACCCAAATCCCAGTGCCGAATGGGATATTCTCAACACTTTTATGACAAAAACCTGCAGAGACCCTCGGCCAGATGGAAAGAATACACCAGGACTGGTTTGATGAAAATGACCCGGCAATCTATGTCCTCATCAATGATAAACGTGCTGCTTTAACTGACTGACAGAACAACCCTCAGTCTCGGACCAAAGCTGATAACTTCCTCAAGAAGAAAGCAGCGGCCCAGCGGGAATTTAACAATCTAAAGAATGACTGGTTTAAAAATAAAAGCATGTGAAACACAAAAATTTGCAAATCCGCACAAGATGCGCGAATTTTTAAATTCCACCAAAACTTTTTGGGGCCAATCACTCGTGGTGCAGCCCCCCTCCGCTCATCCGACGGTAACTCCATAATTAAAGACGATGAAAGCCTCCTTCACAGCTGGAAAGACCACTCCTACTCATTGCTCAACCGAAACACGAATATGGATGTCCTGACTACCCAGCAGGTCCCTCAGCATCCAGAACTGACCCACCTTAGCTATCCTCCATCCCTGGATGAGGTAGCTACTGCCATCAACAGATGAAAAATAACAAAGCCTCAGGGCCTGATGAAATCCCAGCCGAGGTATATAAAGCAGGAGGACCTCTACTTACCAGCCGTCTCCACTCTCTACTGGAGATTATAAAGGAGGAAATCCCCCCAAGCTCTTAAAGACTTCTCCATCATCAACATTTATAAGAACGAGGGAGACCGGTCAGATTGTCCGTTGAACTTATCAGACAAAAGCGAAACAGAAATCATATAAACGAAATCATATGTAAAAAGTCAATGGAAGTAATTTTGCATTTTATTTTTACTTCACAGGTTTGGGTTTATTTCGATGGAATGACCCGTCCAAATTAAGTTATCACTGTTGAGTAGAAATAACGAAAATTACAAGAATAATAATACGCAAGTCTCTCTCTCTCTCTCTGCTACATTCTTTAAGTTAAAATACTATATACAGATTGACTAACAGCCAATCACTACGTAGACAATAAAAAACAGACATAAACAATCACCATCCCACTTCACGATCCTCAGTATATCCAAACCAATCACATGATATTATGAACTTACCCAAACTATATATTATACGATTCTTACACCTGATAATAAACCTAAATCACAGACAGACAGACAGACATAAACAGTGTTCCATCTGCCCAGACATAAACACGTATCCAAATTGCCACATCACTTGAAAGGTTCAATAATGCTAATAATTCTTCTGTTGTTATTCACTTTGTATTTACTGACTAAACAAACTATTATAAGTACAATAACCAATTAGAAATCATTATCAGGTACTGTGTAAACATCACCTGCAGAACTAATTAACAGGTAGGATGAGAGGTACTGATTGTGATGAACTACAGAACCTCTCTCATAGTACAGGAGACCATAAGAGTATACCGGAGAACATTCTCAGTTATAGGGAAGAATCCGAATCTATAGGGAAAAAATCTAACTTAACCTAACCTAACCCAGACTCACCTACCGCACCCGCTAGTATACCCAGACCTCACTTACCGCACCTGCTAGTATACCCAGACCTCACTTACCGCACCTGCTTGTCTATTTCATCTTCACTACAACACAATATATCTTCACTGCAACACTAGTACTACATCTTCACTACAACACAATATATCTTCACTGCAACACAAGTACTACGTCTTCACTACAACACTAGTACTACATCTTCACTACAACACAATATATCTTCACTGCAACACTAGTACTACATCTTCACTACAACACAATATATCTTCACTGCAACACTAGTACTACATCTTCACTGCAACACTAGTACTACATCTTCACTACAACACAATATATCTTCACTGCAACACTAGTACTACATCTTCACTACAACACAATATATCTTCACTGCAACACTAGTACTACATCTTCACTACAACACAATATATCTTCACTGCAACACAAGTACTACATCTTCACTGCAACACTAGTACTACATCTTCACTACAACACAATATATCTTCACTGCAACACTAGTACCACATCTTCACTACAACACAATATATCTTCACTGCAACACTAGTACTACAACTTCACTACAACACAATACATCTTCACTGCAACACTAGTACTACATCTTCACTACAACACAATACATCTTCACTGCAACACTAGTA